GCTCCCTATACTAGGCTTAGGGCCAGCAGTGGGTATGGAGCATCTGTGGTGGAAATGCGGACTACTAAGGATCTCCTTTTTACCCTTTCCTTAGGGTGAGGAGTCTTTCTTGGCCCCAAGATGATCCTGGTCCATGTTGTTTGCTTCCTTTTCTATGCTGCCATTCTGAGTCTCTGTGCTGCAGAAGGTCTTTGGCACTTCTTTGCTTAATTTCTGTGTTCTCTCCTAGATATTGTATTTGATGTGTTGTCATATATATATATAATTATATATATATAATATATATAATTATATATCATTATATATGATATATATATCATAAAATTATATATATGCAATTATATACATATATATATTTTTTTTTTGAAGGGGCGAGTGTTGAGCACTTTTAGTCACGCATCTGGATGATTGTAACCCTGTTTTGCAGATTGTATAAACAGCAGACTGTTTGTACCCAAATGAGTCAAGTTAAGATCAACTATCCTCTTTAATTATTATTTTGAGGAACAGTTGGTTATTGTAAAATAACAGAATATATATCCACATGAAAACAGCTTATTTTTAAAAGGCCCTTTGTCCTTAGATCTGACAGCTGCAGAGGATGTTAGAATTCAGCACAAAAATACCAAGGTCAAACTGTGTTTCTGCTATTTATTTAGTGAAGATTTGGTGTTTCTCAAATATTATAGTTTCATTGTTCTTGTATCAGATTCCACTAAGAATGTTCTCCTAATCTTATCGGCTGCTTTTAGAATTCATTATTATCTATTATTATCTTAGAATTTTGGAGAATGTGTTAATTGAATTGAGGAAAATGTAGCAGTTTTCGTATAGTACATAGAAAATGTTAAAAATAAAAGGAACATTGAGAAAGGAAAGAAACAATCTGTTGTGGGTTCAGTGCATTTTACTGTGAACATTTACAAGAACATAGCTGTCACTTAAAATAACCTTACTCTATGTGATTTTTTTTTTAGAAGATGTGAGAGACATGTATGGTAGAATGAATCTCTCAAGAAGAGATCATGTTAAATAATTTATTCGAGCAATTATTTTCATTGCCAATGGCATATAAATGAAAAAAATCAATAAATTCATTTTATATCAACAAAAGATTCTAAAACAAAATGTCATGGTCATATAATGTTTGAAAATTGTTTATCCAGAGCATGGAAGACTGACCAGCTCCAGGTTAATATTGTTTCTGGAGTTCAGTGAGCATAAATTCTGTAGAGCACGATAATTGATAAAAGGAGTTTTAGCATATTGTATTTGTGATTGTATTTGCACAATATCAGCACCATCTATGTATCTGGCATCTCAGAGTCCCAGAAAGAAATGCTATGCAACAGTTTCTAGTTACTACAAAGTTTTTTGAAAGGCCCCACAAAATAATTAGTAATTCTCATTAATTGATATATTTACTTATTAATAATTTCTAAAATAAAGCTGAGTAAAAATACAAAACCCCAACAAGGTGATAAGAAACCAATTCTATATGAAATCGTAGTAATAATTATCCTGATTCTGAGCAAACATTGTGCATATATGTTCACAATAGGGCATTATACAGCTTCTTATTTGTTCTTTAGAATATTATTAAAAGTAATAATTAATCAACCCTTTTTTAACGTTAGCATTTGATTAAGAGCAGGAATGATGAGTGCTATTGTTTCATAGAGACCCAGACATATCATTTAGGAAAACCTAATTTACCTGACTTCATTGATCTTTTCCTTTCTTTTAAAATTTTTAACTGGAATCTCAAGTGAATAAATTAGTAAATTTATCATTTTCTCTACAATACTGTCGTAAGGACAGTTTGATAAAATAGCTCATTATAGTCAATGATATGAAATATGAGTTCCATCAGCATATTTTTATCAAATGCAGCTACAGAAATTAGTTTGCTATTATCAAGAACTGTGAGATGTAAAAATAAAATTAAGCATGCTATTATATTGGTTAAAATTGGGGATTGACTGAAGTGAATTAAAAAAAATCTTGTAGTGACAAAAAAGTCAACAAAACCAGAGGAATCATCAAGAATTAATTGACAGGTGACAATACTAGTCATGTAATGAGTATGTTTGAAATAAATTGTCATCCTCTTCAAAGGTAGCCTTCAGGTTTAACTTTTTTAGGCAGTCACAGTTCTAAAGTGTAATTTTTAAATTTTCTTTTGGTAAAGAAAATGAAAGCCTATAAATAATAGGATTGTTTATTATTTATAATTGTTATTTATGTGAATTAAGCAATTGACAGTACCTATTGCATCTACATTTGGAGCCTTCATTTTTCTTAAAGGGGACATTTAAAAAGGAAAAGTAATGAAGATGTAGTCTTGATTTTGACTGGTACGTAATTGGAATATGGGAAAGTACATACATCTTGTATGACTAATGATTGCTAACAGCACATTTTATATCTATAAATATCTGTGTCAGTTACCTATTGCTACAAAGTAGCAGATTGTCAATCACCTTAAAACTTTGTGGTGTACAATAATAATCATTTATTTAGCTAATGGGAAAGTGGGTAGCTCTTGGAAATGGGGTGTTCTTGGCTGAGGTAGCTGGCTATTTTTATAAATTTCTCATTCTCCTGGAATCAACAGGACTTTCTAGCATGTTCTTATTGCAATAGTAGAGACACATGAGAAAAAGTGAAAACATGTAACAACTCTTAAGATCTAAGCTCAGAAGTAGTTCACAGTTGTTTTCGAAATACTGGTCAAAGAAAATGATATGACCAAACCCAAAGTCAAGGAGTGGAGAAATACAGCATGCTTTGAATGGGACAAAATACAAGAATCACATATCAAAATCATAGCATGGATATAGTGAGGGGTGAAGAACTGGAGCTGCTGATGCAATTTACCACAACATCAATTCCTTTAAGTTGTCTTTTTACAAAAGCTACTTTATTGAGATATGATTGATGCACAAAAAGTTAAACATATTTTAATGTGTACAACTTGATGAGCTTGGAGATAAGTATATACCCTTAAAACTATCACCACAGTCTTTGCTGTAGACCTCTTCATCACCTCCAAAAGTTTTCACCTGCTGCTTTCTTCCTCTTTTCTTCCCCCTCTTCTTCCTCATCCTTCTTGGAATGACACTTAACATAAAATCTACCCTCTTAACCAATTTTTAAGTATATAATACAATGTTTGTTTTTAAACTATAGACACTGTTGTATGGCAGATCTCTAGGAATTATTCATCTAGTATAATCAAAACTTCATCTCTTTAACTAGTATCTCCCCATTTCTCTCTCCCCACATCCCCTAAAAACCATCATTTCACTCTCTGTTTCTTTGAGTTTGACTGTTTTAGAATCATTATATAGATGATATTATGCAGTTATTTGTCCTGTGACTGGTTTATTTCACTTAGCAAAATGCCTCTCTTCCATGTTTGCCTATATTGTTATAAATGGCAGGAATTTCATTTTTTTAAAGGCTGAATAATATTTCATTGTATGTATATACTACATTTTTATCCATTAATCTACTGAAGGACTTTTATTTTGCTTCAGTGCCTTGGCTATTGTGAATATTGTTTCAATTGACATGAAAATACAACTATATCTTCATGATTCTGATTTCAATTCTTTTTGAAATACACTCAAGTGGGGATGGTGAATCATAAGATAGTTCCATTTTTAATATTTGAGGAACCTCCATACTGTTTTTTATAGTGAGGTCACCAACATACATTAGCATCAAAAGTATATAATGGTTCCCTTTGCTTCACATCCTTGCCAATACTTCTTGTCTTTTTAACTTTTTTAGTAATAGCCATCATAACAGGTGTGAGGTGACACCTCATTGTGGTTTTCGTTTGCATTTTCCTGATGATTAGTGAGTACATTTTCATATACCTTTTGGCCATTTGCATGTCTTCTTTGGAGAAATGTCTATTCAGTTCTTTTGATAATTTTTTTAAAGGCTTAAAATGTATTTTAATAAGTTGATACTGCATTACTGCTCTGTTTCTCAGAAAAACTCCAAATTTATCAGACAAATCAAATGTGGTACACTGATGAAAAATATGCACAGCATGACTACCTAAGATAGGTGAATCTAAGAGCTACTGTCAGACTTTCAGTATACGGCAACCCTGTTCCCAAGATTATACTAGGCCTATCAGGAAAAGCTGTGAACAGTAATATCATAGACACAAAAGCGTCATTCCTGGGCATCCTCACCCAAGAAAATGATGGAGGCAAGTTAACACAAGATTTCTTTTTTCTTTTTTCTTTTCTGTTTTTTTTTTTTAAAATATACTAAAATGAAAATCTCTAAGAGAAAATGTCTTCTTTATGACATGAAGGGGTGATATATGGGATATAACACAACCGTATGTTCATTGCCTGTGACCTTTGTGGACTGCCTGAGTTCTCACTTGGGAGTGAATGGAGCAATGGGGCTAAGGTCATTGGCGGGTTTGGTTTTTGTGGTGTATGTGGCAGTTTCTCTGGGGCTGGGGGAGTGTTAAGGATAAGAAAGCAAATGAGGCTGGGCACAGTAGCTCGCACCTGTAATCCCAGCACTTTGGGAGGCTGAGGAAGGTGGATCACGAGGTCAGGAGTTCAAGACCAGCCTGGACAAACGAACTCGGGAGGCGGAGGTTGCAGTGAGCCAAGATCTCACCACTGCACTCCAGCCTGGGTGACAGAGAGACTCTGTCTCTGGGTGGGCGGGAGGCAAGCAAATGAAACAAGATGGACAAAAACAAAAACAGAAAACCCGGAATGATCAACTTCAATGAGCTCTAACTGTATCCACTTTGCCATGATTTCCCCAGGCACTCAACAATCACATTTGAGACTTCAGGAATGCACAACACAGAACTGATTAAACATTATACCACACATGATTTGTTTATACCACCCCTCCCTTGCCCTCTGCCCCAGCATACTCCTTATAGTACAGGTAGGGTAGATCTAACTATTGGAAGGAATCCCTAACACTTTTCCAGGGTAGAATTCTGGCTAGTCCAAAAAGGGTCCTTCTTTTAAGGGTTTTGAGAAACTAGACACTGCGTATCGGCGACGTTTGTTTCGAGGGAATTCAGCTCCAGGAGCTGCACCGTTGAATGCAGGAGGAGTTCCACCAATTGCCCCAATTCCTTCCATTGTAGCAGCCTGACCAAAGCGTTCAGTTGTTGGTGGGGTCAATCCCAAAGTTCCATCCGGCATCGTAGTTGCAGGTCCTGGAGGAGCTGGGGTACCAGCTGGCACAGTAGCAGGGGGCACAACACCCTCTGTTGTTTATGCCCATAGCACCTGCCATAGCCATCTGACCCATCCGAATCTCCTGCTCTCTCGCATCAGGGAGGGTTCCCTTGAATCCTTCCTGCTGTCGCCGCATCTCTTCTTCACGGCGCCAGCGCCCTTCCTCCTGCCTGAGCTCCAGCAGCTTTCGTTTTTGCACCTCTTGGTTATGCAGCTCTTCCATCCTCCGAAGTTCTTCTTGTCTCATTAGCATGACCTGGTGCTCATGGCGTGCAGCTTCCATCTCCATCTCTAGCTTCTCATGAGCCTCCTTGATGTTGCGGTCCACTTGGTCCTGCTGCTGCTTCACCACCTCAATGAGTGCCTTCCAGTGCATGGCATACTCATACTCGAAGGAGCCAGGCTGTGCGAATCTGGGTGGCTGCTCTCGTTCCTTGTGAAATTGCTGGTTCTTTATAACCAGCTTCTCCAGAAGTCCCTCTTCATCATCTAACTGGTCCATGGGCTCCGCAGTCACAGGATGAGGAAATGTGGTTAGCAGGAAGGAGCATCTCTCCAGAGCTTTCCGAGCAGCTGGCTTCCCTGAGAACTCAACAATGCCTTTTCCTGAGGGCCTTCCTCGATCATCCGCAATCACTACAGCCCTCTCCACCTGGCCAAACACAGAAAACGCTTCTTCCAGCAGTTTGTTGGACACATACTGAGGAAGGTTTTGAACTGTAAGGGATACACTATGGCAGTCAATGCGCACACGCAGCTGCTTTCCACGGAGTGGCATATTGTCCAGCTCCACTTTGGCAATCTCTGCTAGGGTTCGTGTTTCCAAGCGGATAAAGCCAAATCCTTTATCCTTATGAATGAAGACTTCGCCTGCCTTCCCATATTTCTCAAATAGTTTCCTCATTTCTTCCTCGGTGATGTCGGGAAGAAGAGTTCCGTCAAAGAGACGGCTTCGTTGGGTGACGGTCTTCTCTCCTGGTTTCCTAAAATTCTTCAGGTCAATAGTCAAGCCTTCATTTTGGCTGCTGGCCTGTTGCCCATTTGCAAGTATTGGCGGTGGTGGTGGCTGCTGCTGTTGCTGCTGGTGGTGATGTTGATGATGCTTTCTTGGAGTATGATTGTGCTTCTCCAAGTTAAAAGTTTTATTACTCGGCATTTTTGCACCCTCAGCTTCGATTGGAGACAGCAAAGTGCCTCCCAGTCCTCTCTAACTTCGACTTCTCCTCTACCGACTGATCTCTCCTCGGAGTAACGGCGATGCTGCACCTGATCATTTTGTAATTGGGTTATTTTGTAATTGGTAAGACAAGATGAATCAGAATACACATTGAATCAATTCATCATGAAGACTAAGAAGATAAAAGGAGATAAAAAGTTGGTGTGTCTGTTAAGTGTTTTTCCACATAGTTGTAGACTTTGACAGTTGTAACCTACTGTAATTTAAATTCTTGGTGTATTATAACTATAAATCAATCAACAGTAGAACTAATAAATGAAATATTTATTATAACATTTTGTGAAAAGCTTGAATATTTAGTAGGCTTACAAATAAAATATATGTATTTTTTGATTATATCAAAAGGAAATTCACAGGCTATTATTTGATTTAATTTTCCAACTTAGTCCCTCTAACCCAGTCCAAAAGTACAATGTGACAGATGAACTCTTGCAGAGAATAAATCATAAATAAAAGTGAAAATGAAAACATTTATAGAAATACTTTGTAATTTAGTGAGCAGGAAACCTGAAGTGCCATCTGAAATCATGTCATATTTGAGTATAAAAAAAGATTATTCTATATAAAAGCTAAGAAAGTAATGAGAGGAGAACAGACAAATGAATCAAAAGAGGGAAAAATAGTAGAGGACTCAAGAGAAGGGGGACAGAGGATGGCAATTGCAGAGTAAATATTAGAAGAGTCCTGTGAATTGCAAGGATTTAGGGATTATGTGCTGAAGTTTTCTGATAGTAGTGAAAGGGGAGTTAGTATTAAAAAGTCAGAAGATAGACATAAAAGTCAAAATGTAATTTAGATTTTAGTATTTTGTAATGGCAACTTTGTGTCCTTATAAAAACACTTAAGCCAGGGCGATAGCTCAGTAGACTGGCATATGGGATATTTTATGAAAATATAAGCTAAGCATCACTGGACACGATTGTTTTTACGAAGACACATATGCTTATACAGTTGAACTGTGACAAGGCGTTTTGTATTAAGTGGCAAAATAAATCACAACAAAATGGAAGAATGTAGCTTATACAATAGTGTAAAGTTGAATATATATAAGCAACAGAGTGATCATAATATTTCAGTTTATTTCTCAGTATATCATCTATCTCCCTGCAAAGACAAAAGCCAGAAGTGTAAGAATGTTGTGCTCATTTTAACAGAAATATGAAGATCTGAATGTGACTTGAAAATGAACAAAGGGAAACATTGGCAGATCTATAAAATATTGACTGACCTCTATTATATGATTTAAAAAACTCAGAAGGAGTTGCTATAAGAATATTGGTGAAATCAGAGTTCACTGAAGCAGTAGAGTGTTGGGGTTAGTAAGAGCATGAACTTAGAACACGAACAGAACTAGATTTAAATCCTAGGTTTGCTACTTTTTACCTAGCATGGGTGACATTGGGCCAGTCATTCAAATGCTTTGATTCTATTTTAGAGATAACTTCCCTCTAGGAGTTACTCCTGAACTAAGCAACACATATTTTTTAATTTTTTTTTTTTTTGAGAAGGAGTCTTGCTCTATTGCCCAGGCTGAAGTACAGTGGCATGATCTTGGCTCACTGTAACCTGTGTGTCCCAGTTTCAAGCAATTCTCCTGCCTCAGCCTCCTGAGTAGCTAAGATTACAGGTGCTCACTACCATGCCCAGCTAAGTTTTGTATTTTTGGTAGAGACAGCATTTCACCATGTTGGCTAGGCTGGTCTTGAACTCCTGACCTCAGGTGCTCTGTTCTCCTCAGCCTCCCAAAGTGCTGGGATTACAGGCATGAGTCACCGCTCCTGGCTGAACAACATATTTTTAAAACGATGTTACTGTTTCTATAACTGCTAGAAGAGTTTTATTTTTATCACTAGATGTAGAATTTAACTTGAGAAGGCACCTAATGAGATTGATGAGCTCCCTCATCTCTTAAATAGGGATAATAGTATCTATTTCATAATCTTGTTTTGAAAATAAAATGAGTGCTGTATATAATCAAAGCATGTAACCCAGTGCCTGGCTATAGAGTAAGATTTCAACAAATAATAATAATAATAATAATTACCAATAATTCAGCTAATATAAATAAACTAGGTTTAAAAATATGCACTGCTCATTATTAAAGGAAAGATCAAAGTGAAAAGACTCCTGCAACTGGCAATATTGTTAACTAAAATGGTAAAAATTTTTAGGAAGACATGCTTATCAATCTGCTATATGCTTTTTCAAAAACCAGCTTCGGGTTCCTAAGTCAGATATCACTTGAGAAGGTTACATATGACTGCTTTCAAAGAATCAGTACATAAAGAAATCATGAAAAAGTTCCATGGGTTTTTCTGAGTTCTTACTCCTGAGCACAACAAATAACAAATAAAAGGTGACTGATTTAACATAGATTTCCATTTTTACCAGGGCATATGGGTTTACATAGCATTGAGTGGGTTTTTTTTTTTTTTTTTTTTTGAGATGGAGTCTCACTCTGTTGACCAGGCTAAAGTGCAGTGAGGGGATCTTGGCTCACTGCAACCTCTGCCTCCTGGGTTCAAGCCATTCTCCTATCTGTCTCCTAAGTAGCTGGGACTATAGGTGCCCACCACCATGCCTGGCTAATTTTTGTATTTTTAGTAGAGATGGGGTTTCATCATATTGACCAGGCTGGTCTCAAACTCCTGAGCTTGTGATCTGCCCACCTTGGCCTCTCAAAGTGCTGGGATTACAGGCATGAGCCATTAAGCTTGGCCTTGCATGGACTGTTTTCATATGGCCTTACCTTTATGTGATAAAACCTTTGGAGACTGGAACATTTATGTGGCCTGAAACGTTTGAAGTCAGGATATATTTGATTGTTTACCATCCAGAAACTAATACCTGGAGGGAGTGATATATTTTTAAAAAGATATTACTGTTTCTATCAAGCTGGAAGGGTCTTAATTTTATTGCTAGATAAGAGTTTAACTTGAGGAGGCACCTAATGAGATTGATGGTATTTTGAACATTGTTCTCATTGTACTCTTTTGGATTGTACTTTCTTTATCAATCTACTAGATGATCATGTTGTTTTCAGAATGACATATAACTAAAAACTAGATAATGTGAGAAATTTTATTCCTCACCAAGGATACCATATAGATCTGCAGAATCTCCATAGCATTACAGATGCAAATTTAAATGTTGGCTGTGCCTAAATTCTCTTAAGCAATAAAAGGTTTGTGGACAATTGTAATTGATTGTCATGTTTCCAGTGGCACACTCTACAATGTTGTAGCATTAAAGTAAGATGTTATCATATTCTTCAAGACTAATTTCTTGACATATTCACATATTTACTGGCTTGAAAAGTAAGCACCATTCCATAGGGGTTACAGAGATAAAGAATTAGCTACTCTACTGAATGCAAATCCTCTTGGTCCCATCTCTTGCTCCAGCCATTGCTGTGGTGCTCAGTTCCCAGCAGGTTTTGGTAACCTTTAGGCAGATGCAAGCAGACAGTGTCTCATCCTGAGCCAGAGCTCCCATGGTTCTCACTTCTCATCCCTGGATGGCCTGAGACAACTGTAAGAATCATGTCGGCACTCTCACATGATAAGAGCTTAAAACTCATGGGGCCATTCTTGAAGAATGGGGGATGGGTCTTGATAAGTCAGTCCTTCCACCTTTTGTCATTTAGGTGGATAGTTCTGAGACACATTTCATAAAGGTCCTCACAAGGTCCTAGCAAGATCAAGCATTATCATCAGTAGTACTGGCCAACTTCATAATGCATCCCTGTGTTGGCCTTTCCTCCTTTCTTGTTCCATGCCCTTGGTCTCTTACTCTTTATTCATGGGGTCACTTCCCAAATAAACTATCAACCCTAACATACTTGTTTTATGCTCTGCTTTCAGGGGACCCAGGTTGAGAAAACCAGCAAACGCTGATGTTGGGACTTATTTTATGAAAAATGAGACTTAAACTTTTCTAGATATTTTGCATGTATGAGTTTGCTTAACTCTCGCAAGAATCCTTCTAGATAGGTTCTGTTATACATAACTTCACCCCTGACAGAAAAAAGTTTCATGTCTTATCACAGGTATCATCTGTGAGGAGGTGGTCCTTTCCCAGACACCAATTCTTTCAGTGCCTTGGTCTTAGACTTCCCACCCTCCAGAACTATAATAAATAGAATTCTGTTGTTTGTACAACACTCAGTTTAAGTATTTTTGTGATAGCAGCTCAAAGTCAGACATAACTCTTGTCCTTTGGGACAAAGATAATTTTGGTGTGTTCTGTTGTGATGCTATTTTAGGAGTACTGTTGTTTTCAATATAGATGATTTCCCTTCTGTTAGCTATATTCTCTGTAAAATGTTACATTAAAATGATGTCTGGCAAAAGGTCATCTTTTTAATTAATTTGTTAATTAATTTATTTATTTTGACAGACTCTCCTGTTGCCTAGGCTGGAGTGCAGTGGTGCAATCTTGGCCCACTGCAACTTCTGTCTCCCAGGTTCAAGTGATTCTTCTGCCTTAGCCTCCCAAGTAGCTGGGATTACAGGCGCCTACCACCACGTCTGGCTAATTTTAGTAGAGACAGGGTTTCACCATGTTGGATAGGCTGGTCTCAAACTCCTGACCTCAGGTGATCCGCCTTCCTCAGCTTCCCAAAGTGCTGGGATTACAGGTGTGAGCCACTATGCCTGGCCTTTATTTATTTATTTATTTATTTGTTTGTTTATTTATGTTGGAACTGGAATGTTTCATTCTCAGCACAGGCAACAGTTGGTTAAAAATTGGGCTGCCATCAAGCCCACATTAATTTTAAACATCTGTACAGAAAGACAGATTTGTAGGCAAAGAACATATTTAGGTATCTCTTCTTACTTTTCCTTCACTGCTGATCTGTAGAGGAAGACTGCCCTAACAGGAGGCCTTCTTTCATTCTTATACCCTGCCCACTGGTT